CACGCCATGACGCCATGTGGTCACCTCCAGGGCAGGCGGGAATCGAACACATGCAGAAGTGGTTTAAGCTTCTTTGTGCTGTGCTTTAACCCGCTGCACCACCAGGGAGGGCCTATAACTACAGACCTTTAATGAAGCCTGGTGATTCCCCTGCCCCTCCCACCATGGTCTGCAGTTCCCTATCATATATATATACACACACTCCATTTTTAATCATCTTGGCAAGAAAGACAACAGACACTTTTGTCCTCTTAAACCAAGTTTGAAACAAAGGGTCTTCTGGTTCTTTGCCAACAAACTGATGATGTCTCAAACAATCCTATCCACTGAAATTCTGTTTTCTTCTAAGAAACAACTGTCTTATAAAGAAAAGATTATTTCAAGAAAATATTCTCAAATTAAAATTGTTGCAATGGGTCCAGGGAACCTTACCAAACTCCACATCAGAAAGGTCTCCTGTGTTGGGAAAGCCTCGAGAACTATTTCTAGTTGATGGTTTGTTGCCACTTGATCGAGAATCAGAGGCACAAGCTTTGGCTACTGACTGTACCAGGTGCTCATCATCAGCATTTCGCCAGCCCCACCAGCTGACCTCTGGCTGTCCACAGCGGGCAATGACGGCTCCATTGCTCTGGTGCCTGCATAGGGAACAAGACACAAAAGTACATTCAGATGTTCTGGATTCATACAAAAAGTAAGGCAGTGAATTTTAAATGCCTTAATGAACACTTTGACTACAGGTAAGTGATGGGTTAGCCTCAAGTCCTCTCAGAGCAGAAATCTTATATACCAATAAAAATAAATAAAACCAGATGGACTTTCAATTATACCAATTTAGCAACTTTAGACTCACCAACAAACCAAGTTAGAATTATTATAAATGAATACTGTAGAGAAAACAAATTAACATTCCTAAAGTAAATGCTTAAATCTTTAAATTTATTTTGGGAAATCAGGTTAAAAAAATACTAATTCTGTTACTCAATAATGAAGCATAATCTCCTTTTTAATATAGCACCTGAATATCCTGACATTACAGACAAACATTTGTTTCCTCACTGACTTCTGAGAGTCCACTATAGCACTGAGCATTCATTATTGGCTTCAGGATTCTTTTCAAACCAACATACCATATTTGAGACTGAAGGACTTGTCTGATAGACACTAAAATGCTTTACAAAATCTTCTATTATTTCATGAGTCACAAAATACTCTCACAGACGAGTAAGGACACTGAACCAGCTATCTTTCCTCAGGCTGCAATATTCTTTAGAAAGGAACAGCATAAGGGCCCTCCCTGGTGGCGCAACAGGTTAAAGCACAGCACTGAGAAGCTAAAGCCACTTCCTCATGAGTTCAATAGCCGCCAGCGCCGGAGGTGACCACATGGCGCGGCAGACCTCTCCTGACCACCCACCCACTGCTCCCCTCAGCAGGGTACTTCATCCATCTGCTTGTTCTGCTCCCCACTCTGTCTCTGGTGAATCCTCTCAGGACCCCTGCATCTCTGGCCTGTATCCCAGATCTGTGTGCATAAATAAATAAATCTTTTAAAAAAAGGAACAGTTCCTCAAACTGCTAAACATGGAGCTTCCCTACGACCCAGCAATCCCACTCCTAGGTATCTACCCAAAAGACACAAAAACACTGATTCAAAAA